GGGCTCTGGAGAGCCAGCCATCCAGTGCGACACGCTACATTTGAAGAGATAATATTGTTCCTGGTGAAGGTTATTCGGCTGCCAAGCAGCCCTGGTTTTAAAAACAGAACAGCTCCTCCCAGATGACAGGGCTTAACAACAGCAGAATGGCAGGCAGCTTGTTCTTCCCCCAGACAGTGGGGAGGGCTTGATGTGTAAAGGGGCAGGAGTTAGCCTAAACAGTGGGGTGCAAGACAGATAGGTTCAGGCTGAGGTATGCAGGAGGTAGCAAGAGCTTGACATTTGCTGGTGTGTGTGGGTGGGACAGTTTAACAGCTGCAGAAGTTGGTAGAAGATGCTGTCTTCCAAAGCTTGTCATGAGAAACTACGAAACTGTGAGGCCGGGTGCATGGGATTCAGAGAAAAGCAGATGTAGTTGACAGGGAGATGTCAAGACCAAAGGCAATATGAACTCTTGGTCTTAGTTTGTCACTGAATCTGAGCCGAATCCCAACTTCTGAGCAGAGGGTAGGGCCAGGATAGACAGAAATACATTGCATTTCTGTGTTGCAAGGTGAAGCCTTCTCAGAACTGAATGCTGAAGGCAGACAAGTCTTGAAAACACAGTATTGTGTTAGTCTCCTGGCTTAGATTCAGCCTACGTGAATTGGCTCCTAGATACCAATGTTCTGTAGGCAGAACATTGTGTGTAGTGGATGTGCCCTCACTATTTTTCTCTGTCTCTCTGCACAACTTTTTTAAATGGAGACATTCACAGCTCTAGGCAATACCTTTTATGCATTCCATGTTTCCAGGATCTAGATCACTGCTGAAAAGCTTTCTTGAACAGTTGAAAGCAGGTAAATGGTTAAACATGAGCTGTCTTTACATCAGAGCAGATCCAGAGGATGCAAATGAATGAGGCATGGGGATAGAGGAGGTTCAAATGTGCTTTTTCCCACCCATGCTTCCACACACATGTTTATATGTGCTACACATATGTACACAGAATATACATTTACCACACATACCACTCTCATACACTAAAGACATATACACAACAAACACAGTCATGCCATACACATGTATACAGCACAAACACTACCCACACCATGGACATATATATCTCAAGTACAAATGTGTAAAAATAGTTTTCTGAATAAATTAACAGCATTTAGGGAGGAAATCAGGTCTGAGAAGATGACTTAGTGGGCAAAGTACTTGCTATACAAATAGGAAGACCTGAATTTTGGCCTCTATCACCCAGCTCCTGTTAAAGTCAGCAGTTGCCATGGACATCTGCAACCTCAACACTGGGGTGTAGACAAAGGCAGATCTCACAGACTGCTTTACAGATAGCCTGATAGAGACATGGATATTAGGTTCAGTGAAGAGACACTGTCTCAAAGTCCACAAAACAAAAGAAAATGAAGGGAGAAAGATAGAGGAAGACATCCAGTATCCTCCTCTTGTGTCCACGTACATATGCCTGCACAGTCACATGCATACACACACACACAATACACCCCCACATATCTAACCACACATACACACATAAAAAACAAATGAATCCATTAATAAAAAAACCAAAACGAGGCTCCACAAGCACTTCAAAAGTATTTTAATGTATAACAACTAAAAATTATTTTTATCCATACATTTCTTTCCATTAGCCAGTAAACCAAATCAGAGGAAAATAGTTTTAATTGCAATTATAACCCATCCTTGACCAAGCATTCCTTGTGTTCTATGCCCCTGCCTCTCCTCAACTCTATAACTTTCTGTGTTGGTAATCCCCTCAGAAGCCAAAGAGTAAACATGCATGAGGAACTCCTTGACCCCAAATTAGGCTCGTACTTTCCTGACTGGTCAGCCTCAGGAGGGAGTCAAATACTGGTGGTGTGTGTGTGTGTGTGTGTGTGTGTGTGTGTGTGTGTGTGTGTGTGTGTGACTTTTTTCAGTGTCCTTTGGATAGATCAGTGACTCTACAAAGGTTCTGGGTTTTTAAGATCTAGGGTCTTTAGTTGCTACATAAAAGTGGCTCCAGAATTTCTATAAGTTAGAATCCATTTGCTTCTCTTTCTTTAAAAGTTCCCTAGGTAACTCCATGCTTTCTCTTCCTAATTCAGCCAGCTCCCAGCAGCTCCAGGTGGAGAGAACAGAAAACAGAATTCAAATTTCTCTCATGTCAGAATAAATTCAGCACATACATACAATATACTTTCTAACTCCTCTCTTCCCAAGGTTTCTGAGGTAGTCATCCATGACTTGACGGGTCTGGAAACTTTTGATTTTTGTCAAACCACAAGCCTTGCTAAGCGAGGACCTCAGAAATCAGGGCCAAGAACCCCTGTCTAAACCCCATCAGTTTCTTCCCCTTTCTCTCCACATCTACTCCTTTCTCTAGAAATTAAATGATTCAAGCAGACAATTGTGACAATCTGGCAAAGTTCTGACCTTTGAGCACTCTCAACTTTACTTTTGGCCAGCGATGCAGGGAAATTTGATGGCTACTATTTATTGCCAACTTGACAGGATCTAGACACTATCCCCTAGGAGAAAAATCTATGGACATGTTTGTGGGGGAGGTTCTAAGATTATTTTAGCTAAGGTGGGAAGACCCTTCCTAGATTTAGTGGCATTTTCCCATGGGCTGAGAGCTTGAACTGAAAAGGAAAAAGTAAGTTGAACCTTTGCGTTCATCCCTTCCTGATTCCTGATGGTCGATGCAATGTGACCAGCCAGGTCATACTCTGCAGCCATGACTTCCCTGCCATGATAACCTTGAATTGTGAGGCAAAATAAACACTCCCTCCCTTAAGTTGCTTTTGTTGGCATTTGTCACAGCAATGAGGACAGTGACTAATCACAGGAAGAAATATCTCTTTCTTATAGGATTAACAATTGTCTAGAGAGGCAGTGCCCACAATGGTATGTTGTGATTCTTAGAGGCTGATGGCAACATAGACAACATCCCCATGGAAATCTCTGTCAGTGTTTTTGCTTGATTCAGCCCATTACCTTAGCAACCACCAATAGCACATGGCTGCCTTCCTGTCTCACAAGCACATTCTTAGCTCATTTTAGTTGAAAAAGAAGTCCATCTGTTAGGTGATATTAAGATGCAGAGAGATGTTCTTATGGGGTGTTCAGCCTCCTCTTTTAAATGCTTGACAATATGCCACAGGTAAGGGGAACACAGGGTAAGCCAAACACCCCCCCCAGAATTCCCCCTCCCTTCCCCTCTCCTCCTCTCCCCTTTCCTCTCCTTTGCTTTTCTCTCCTCTCCTCTCCCCTCACCTCTCCTTCCCTTCAGCCCCCCTCCTCCACTACCTTCTCTTTCTCTTCTCTTCTCCCCTCCCTTTTACTCTGCATCCCTCCCCTCCCCTCTCCTCTCTTCTCCTCTCCTCTCCTCTTTTATCCTCTCTTTCACTCTTGGTTCCTCTCATTCTTACTTTCTATTCTGAGCCCTCGTTATTGATCTAAGCAGAAGGGATGGATATAATCTCTTTCCTTAACCCAGCTTCAATATTAGATACCTGATGATGCCTCATTCTTTTCTAGCTTTATTCACTACAGATGTTTCAATAGAAAACCCCTAGTTATCCTTTTACTTGTTAAAGAACTGTAAAATACATTCTCTGAGACACCATTATATTACAATCATTTAACATTTTTTTTCTGTAGTTAGAAGAGGAAAATGAAAGAAAGAGAAAAGAATCTAAGAATACTAGTTTATTTCCTACACTCTTTGGGGCTTTTGGTCACAGATTAGTGGTATTTTCTTATCCTTAAGATGATGATGGGACTCTAGACTCCAAGTGAGGAAGGAATTCCACAAGAGGACAGGATGTTATATGAAACTAGGACTTTAGCTAAGGGCAGATTTCCTGGTGATGGTAACTGTCTAGGTGAGATCTGAAGCTTTGGACAGGGGTAAGTATGCATATACACCAACTGTGGATGAGCATGGTCTGCATGTACACCAACTGTGGACGAGCATGGTCTGCACATAAACCAACTGTGGCTGAGCATGGTTTGCATGTACACAAACTGTGGATGGGCATGGTCTGCACATACAACTGTGAATGAGCATGGTCTGCACATACAACTGTGGATAAATATGGTCTGCACATAGAACTGTGGATGAGCGTGGTCTGCACATACACCAACTGTGGATGAGCATGGTCTGCACATGCTACTGTGGATGAGCATGGTCTGTACATACACCAACTGTGGATGTGCATGATCTGCACATGCAACTGTGCGTAAGTGTGGTCTGCACATACAACCTAGATGAGCACGGTATTTGGTAAAGATGGAGCTGCACTGGGAGATAGGATTCCGGTGAAGGGTAGAACTAGAATTGGGAGTGGGATTCCAAATGAGGACAGAACTTCAGGTGAGGATTCAACTACAGGGATGAGGGACTGTAAGGGACGATGGTATTCCATGGGAACATGAGACTCTGGCTGGGGACAGGACTCTGCATGAGTGTGGCTTTGAATGTAGAGGGGGATGACAGATTAGAGATGATCCCATGCATAGATGGCATTGCCACTAAGACTGCATAGATTTGGTCCTATAGGTGGGGTGGGCTGATGGTCAGGGTGGTTTGCGGGTAATGCTGGTACGATGTTAATGATGGGATTATGTGTGGGCACAAGGCTGTGGCTGAGGATAAATATCTGTATGAGTTTTGTTCTGAAGGTGAAGATGGACTTCAGACGAGGACAAGACTCTGGGTAAGAACTCCATACTTCAGGTGATGGTAGGACTCCATACTTCCACACAACTGTGGGGATATGGAGAGTGTGGGCTGGTTGCAGGTGTGGATGGAACTATGGGTAAGGATATAACTGTTGAGGAAGATAAGTCTGCTAGAGATGGGAGCAGGATCTCCTATACTGAGCAAGATCAGCCAGCTCCCTCTCCTTGGCTATAAGGAAACAGAAAAAGCCACTCCCACCCCCGTGCATATATATAGAGGACCTCTTTGCAAGAGAAGTGAGGTTGCTTACTTAGATTGTCTTCATCCTCTGTGTTTATGGTGCCAGGACTTAGGTACTTGAAGGGAGCGAGGAAGGTTGACAATATGCTTACTTTGTCTGAAAAGAGAAAGAAGAGGAAATGCACTTTTGATATCAAGTTTCAGAAAAACCTAATGCTTTCATATGTTTCTGTTCTCAAAAGATTGGACAAGGGAGGTGGAAAGATCATCGTGGCTGCAGACACTTCATTCTGGCTCCATCTTTTATTCAATTTCTGACAGCATTTTATCAAATTCCTCTCTCCATTCATCTTAAAGCCTTATGATTTCCATCTATCTTCCCTTATTTATTTATTTTTGGCATCTTCTCTGCTTTCATTCTACATCCCTGAAGCCTTCAATTGTGTTCAGAGTAACAACCTTTCATCTACAAAAAGGTGGTTAGGCTAAAACCTATTAAGGAAATTTTTAGAAAAAAAAAAAGTTGAGTAAAACAATTCCACAATTAAGAGAGGATTGCCCTCCAAGAGACAAGGATTCTCCCAAACCCTCACATGTGAAACATGCTCTGAGCTCTTGAATTATAAACATGAAATAATTATATACATGAAATAGAGTCTGAGAAACACACACACACACACACACACACACACACACAGGCTCATTGAATCCATAGTCATGTCACTTAGTGGGTGTATTGGTAGAAGCACTAGAAGTGAGAATTAGGCTAGAGTCAGGTAGAGGGCCTGAACTGTCCTGGGGATGGTCAAATGTCATTAACATTGATGGAATTCAGTGTCAAGGAGGAACAGTTGACTTTCTGCACCCATTCTGTCATGATTGATGTGTCTTTGACTCTGTAGTCCAGGCTGGCTTTGAACTTGAAATTTTCCTACCTCAGCCTCCCACAGACAAGGATTTCTTGCTCAACTGGCAATTCCTCTCTTGAACAGAGAGGTGAAGGAATTCTAGGTGGGAAGTGCTGCTGGGAAATACATTTTAAAATGAATAATTAAATAGAGTCTAAGTTCCTTATTTTAGAAGTTTCCACTGAACAAAATATACTACAGAAGCTGCGAATATCTGTTCACACAGCACTTACTCTCTACTGCCAGAGGCTCAGTGCAGGGGACTCTCAGAAACCACACTCTCCTTGTGTCTGCAAAACCATCTCTGTTTCATTATGAATCTGGACCACAGTCATTAAAGGGCCACAGATGAAAGTGCTACATTACTTGTCTGCTGTGGTGCAGCATTAGAGGCATTTCTGATCTCCTCTTAAGCTGCTTGGGGCACTGGTCATGAAGGACTTTGTTGCTGTGCTGTACAGGGCCCTTTCCTTCTCCTCTGCAGCCTTTCCCACTTGAGGGCAGGATGTTTTAGTGGGGTCACCATGTTCAACACTGCCTCTTGTCTCTTCCTGTTATTACAGAGGACTCCTGCCTGTACCAGTATTCCCATTTGCACTTATACCTTGATCTAAGTGCAGATACCCATGAAAACACTCACTGATGGTTTTAACTGCCCTTAGCCTTCAGGCAACCAGACCCAGGCTGGAACTTGCTCTTTTCTTTCAAGGTTGAGCCTATTTTCTTTTTAGACAAGCTTTCCAGAGGCCAGAGGAGATCACATTGAAATTCATCTCAGAGCCTGTTAACAGCTGTTGTTTCCAGTAGGGACAGGCACCAATATAGTGTTCACACAAAGAGAACAATAAATAACTGTAATATGAAGTGCCTGCCCCTCCTTCATTCTACCAAACACGAAGGATGAATACAGCAAAGGCTTTGCTCCCCCTGAGCTCTCATCACCCAAGCTCATTTAGTCCAACAGAATGAAATACCTTGCTTGAGTTATAATTTCATTAAGTGAGTCCAATAACGTTGCACAAAGACTGTGAAGCTCAAATGATTTTGTCTGGAGGATCTCGAAATGAAATTGTAATTTTTTAATAAAGCAGGAACACCAGCAAAACCCCCACAAAATATACCAAACTATTTCACAGCACAACTGTGAAATATGTAAAGACTATTTAAGATCTATCCACATCTTCACTTTTTTGCCATTGCTGGGCTCCCCCCCCCATGTCTATCAAACAAAAAGAATGCATCCAGTTGAAACCAAATTTCAGATGAACAGTGTTTTTCAGTGTACATATATTCCCCATATTGTGTGAGGCAAATATAAACCAGGGCAAGTACTTACTGTTTATCTGAAGTTCATGTTTAAGGCAAAGGGTGTGGGTAGACATATCTGTAAGGAAGATATTCTACTGGCCAATGAGCACATTATAATTAATATCTGCTGTTTTTAAGGAAGTGCAAGTGCAAGAAAATACACAATGAAATACCACACCGCACCCACAGGATAGCTATTGTAAACAAGACAGAAAATAGAGGGATGGTAACAGTGTAGGGAAAGTATAAATCTTGAGCTCCATTGATAATAACATGGAGCAGTGTACTGCTGTGGATATAGCAATCCCTTTAATATGTCAATACCTTAAAGAACTAAAAGCTTCACTTCATGGTAGCTTAGAGAGGGAGGTTCAAGTGTTCACTGTCAGATGGATGAATAAATGAAAATGTGGTACATCCTCATAGTGAAATATTACTCACTATGTAGAAGAAAGAAACCCCATATGCAATTTGCCCACATATGGTTGAAATTACAGGCTTTATAGTAAAAGACAAATGCTGTATGATCTCATTTATATGCACAGTCTGAAAAGTCTAAGGCATGGGGGGTGGAGGGGAAAGAGATGCTAGTCAAAGAACATAAAGCTTTCATGTAAGAGAATACATGTTATTCCCTAACAAACAGCCTCATTGTGGTAGGTAACAGCAATGCACTGAACACTAACAGTTTGGTAAGAATAGATTTTATGTCCTTAGTGTAGACACACACACACACACACACACACACACACACACACACACACACACACACAATGGTAACTATGAGTGGTGATGGGTATATTAACCTAATTATGATAACTATACAATTCATACCTCTATTAAATTATAAGTTATATATTTATATAATTTATAAAATGTAAATTATATTTACATTTATATTTAAATTTATATGACTTTGAGCCAATTAAATATTTTTAAATTAAAATAAATAATTACCACATCAAAGACAGTAAAACTTAGCTAAATATTTATCTAAAAATATTTATTTATTTTATTTTATGTGTATGAGTTTTCCTTGCATGTATGTATATGCATCACATGCCTGCCAGGTGCCCTTGGAGATCAAAAGAGAACATTGAATCCCCTGGAACTTGAATTATGGATGATTGTGCCTCACCATGTGTATACTGGGAATTGGACCTGGATCCTTGGAATGAGAAATAAATGGTCTCAACTACTGAGTCATTGCTTCATCCCTCAAATAGCTTATATTTTCCTTAGCAGTCCTAATGTCTCATGAAGTTTTATTTTCTCTAGTAGATTTTATATCTCAAGGGCCACTTTATACAAACCAAATGACGGCAACCAATTAAAACAGGGAGCTCAGTCGTGCACAACTAAAGAGCCAATTGTTTGTTATCTGCTACCAGCATTGCTTTATTCAAGAGAAATACCTTCATTCCAGAAATAATGATTTTTTTAAAGACAGAACTTAACACATCATTATAATATTCTCAGAAAATGGTGAACAACTATATTTTCAGTACACAGAAAAACTAAAGCCAAGTAATTTGATGTCAGTGCCTTTCCTTATGGCCTCCTGGATGCCTCTTGTCTGTTTGACACCATATTCAACTAGTTAAATGTGAATGGAACTTTAGTACTCAACCAATTCTCATTTCATAAGTTTCACAGACATCTTTTGAAAAGCATATTTCATGCTGATTGCTAATGAAAGATGGAGGCCTTATTCCATTAGACTCAATTTTAAGCATTTCAGGTGTATGAAGTATTCTTTGCACTTCTAGTTGCCCCCTCAAACTCTGAATGGTTGGTGATGAGCCCAGTGGCTCTCCAAGGAACAGCCTGGAAGGGGCTCACTAGATCCTTCTGCTCTGAAGCCATTCTTATCTTTTGTTTCTTAGCTCTTATCCACACTGTTTGATGTAGCTCCAACTCATGTTATATGATGTAAGCCCATTGGAAACTGACCTGGAGAGCTACAGCAGCCCTGGCATAACTCTAGAATAGAAGACAAGAATGGATTCCACTAAAGGTTGGCTCATAACTGGCCAAACACATGATTCATTAAATGCATTGCTTCAAATGTTTTAGGGCATTTGCATTATAAACCATATTACTTGTAGAACAAATAGCTTTCTGTTATTGAATCATAATATGGTTTATAATGTAGGTTTTTGGGGTGGTGGTGGAGAAACATTCGGGGAAGAATTTTCGAGTCATGAAAGGACTTTTTTTGGAACCTCATGACATGAGAGAACTGGAACTTGCAAGACATAGGACCAACGATGTCATTAGCATTATATTAATTGGAAAGCCACTGACAAAGAGCTAAAAGATCTACTTACTGGAATAACTTGTGGCTATTTTAATATCATTATCATCATGTTTAGAACTTAAAACATCTCAATAGCTTAATAGATTAAGTACTGTTTCATGTCAACATTAACAATCTTTGAAGATTTAATTCATGTACACTGGAACTTTGCTGTATTTTACTGATAGTTTGAAGTGAGTATTATCTTTGTATGCAACTGTAGCTTATCTATCATGAAAAAGACATGTGAACAAACCAAAAAAAATATCTTCATTTGGTAGCAGAGATTTGTGACTCCTCCAGTGTCCCTCCCCAGAAGAACACTAGTTATAAAATACTGATCATTAAGAAGCATGGCTGAAATATGTATGCTAACATATATTTTGGCTAACCAAAATGTCTATATGTGTTGAAGGTAGTTTATTAGGAAATGAGTTATCACATATAATCAGTGATGGCCTGATTTTCTTTGGTGTACTTTTTCCAGGCAAAGAAACAGAGACATTGGCTTTACAGCTAAATAACACACCTGTGCTAATCCACAGTGCTGTAAATGTACTTACCTACATTCCAATCTGGGGGCAGGATTGTTTAAGGAACTCTTCATTCCTCCCCTCTGATTTTTAAATCCCAGAGTGAAAA